CCTTGCTAATAGTGTATGTCTTTCAGTTCCAACCATACATTAATTCTGAATACTCCAGTAAAAACCGTATTTATTATATATAAAAAGGAAAAAAGTATGATTAATGGTAGATGTCCTAGTATACAGACTGTCACCAACTGTCATGCCGAATAATGTCACAGAGTACGGTCTTACACCAACTGCCATACTGACTAATGTCCCCGTATGTAATCTGTCACCAATTGTTATGTCAACTAATGTCACTATATATCATGTGTATTCTGTATATTCTGCCACTAACTGTACCACTCACTAAGGTAATTGTATACAAGATATACGCAATCTGACACCAATTGGCATAAAGTTGTCAACCTAGTCATACCAACCAAGGTATCTGTTCTAATACAGACTGTATATGACTATAGTGTATATATCTGTGTGTGTGTGTGTATAATAGACAATTGTAATATATATAGTCTGTCATCATAGTGACTAATGTCACACTATATAATGTTACAACGTGTTATACCAAAGTATCATAAATGCATAAGCCTTTACACGGTCACCTACTAACATCACTGTATATAGTTTGTACACAATCCGTCACCACCTATCAAATAATGTCACTGTATATAATCTGTCATCCAGTGTCACACTATAAGTAATCTGTCCCTGAGTGATTTACTGACTGTAACTCTATATACTATAATACTATAAAATCTGTCACCGATTCTCATTTTACAGTATATTTCTCATAGGCACTCACACATTATATATTCAATCACTAACTCGCATATCAATATGCATCCAACACTATCACATCAGCTGATGTCACTGTATATAATCTGTTTAAGACGAGCAGGGAAATGACAAACCTTTCATCCAGGTGTTAAAAGAACTTCACTGCTCCCCCATCCTTACCTTTTATCCAGGTTTGTCCTCAGTTCACATAGTTACCTGCAAATCAGATCCGGCGATGAACTGCTATTATCTGCTGGAGCAGGCTGAGTTCCAAGCACAGCTAGAGAACTGACCACAGTGCGTTCTCCTGCTTAGTGTGGTCAGTTTTAAAAGGAAAGCAGAGGGACTGGCAGGAACACTAGGGTTTTCACAGAAAGGAAGCAATACAAAGATACATTGTACCTTGTCTATGGTGTGGTCCTCTTACACTTCCTGTCATGGACACAACTTCCTTTTTTTCCCTAAAAAACTGGAGGTGTTTTTCTACAAGTACCCTTAACCCTTGGAAGACCAGGTTTGCACCAGCAGTATCATCACCCTCCTCAGAACCTCTGTATAGCAGATGCACCTGGTTCTCAGTTATGCCTTATGCTGGATGCATTCCTGGTTAAAATATTCATCAGGTTTTCGGATCTATGTCTGTCCTGCCAGGACTCATGTAAGGAATCCCCCTCCTACTCCTAGCTTTCTGCTTCCTCTAACTTGCTGCAAGAGCTTCCCTGGGGCCCCCCAGTGTTATCTGCTATGAATATATTGCACACCTATACACCCTTCCCTTAGCGAAGGTGTGCTCTCAAAATTCTCTCACCTCAAGCTGATGAATGGCTGCCTGATTCAAGCAGTGATTGAGACACTCAGGCTTGAAGAGTAAGCTACCACTGACAGAATATCTGTTAAGATCTATTTTTAGAAATGTAAACACTCAGTTCAGTTTTGGGAAATGTGTACATCCTGACATACTGTATAAACAGTAGAAACAACCTGGGAAGGACTTTTCTGACCCTGGATCCTTAACAGATCCTTTCTAGAGGATCTGGAAAAAAACAGGTCAGTGTTGAATCTTCCTTTTTTCCTTTTGTGCAGCCCCACACTGTTCAAGGCCTTAAAGAACCTAATCTTTCAAGGAGTCAGGAGGTACCTTTCAACATCCTATCTCACCTTCTTCTGCAGGTCAACTTTTGTAGCTGTGGTCCTTTTTTTCTTCCCAAACATCGGTCTTCCTTCCTTCGTTTCTATACCTGTGTTTTGTTCATCTGCTTCCCATCTAAAATGAATTGCTGTTTGCTCTGTAGATTTTTTTGCAAGTCAGATTAGTTGCTTGTCATTCCTGGAGGCCTCTCCAGCATTCATTGTGATTATCACACATGGTGGAGTGAACTGAGAATATCTTTTGCATATTCTGTTAAAGTGCTAGCAAACTCCCTTTTTTGGTCATTGCTCTAAAACGAATTTCTCAGATTGTGTGTGTAACATTCCTTTTACAAATGTATTCATAAATAGTAAGTACCTGGTTGATACAGCCAGTTCTCTGTACTTCCTTTATTTAGAGTGGCAACGCTATTCCAGCTGATACTGAGAGTGTTGCCACACTCTCTGTGCATGCGGCAGTATTTTATAGAAGGAAGTCATGCATTTCCTCTTTTCCCAGTTAGCCACCCTACCCAACGCTATTCATCAGCTTGCTGGGCGGCTCCAGCAGCTTAACTGACAAGGTTTCTCCAAGGAGTCTTTTTAGGCATAAGAAGAAACTGTCCTGCTGTGATGTCTGCAGGGTGTGTCATATGTTGCAACTAAGCTTTGCACAACAATTGGAAGGTGAGGTGCAGAGAGGTACACTGGGGAGATCACATGTCCACAATAAAAAAAGCCAAAAGAATGCAAACCATGTGATCTATGGACAGTTGGTCACTTAGTCTTATGTAATGGTCATATACATGAAGTGGAATATATGGGTTTACATACACTTTAAGGAAAAGTTACCTCCCTTCTCTGCCAATACTCATTCGACTAGAGCAGTAGAGGTATCTTGGTCTACAAAGGGCTTCCTCTATACTATTTTCATGTAATAATCTTCATTATACAAGCTGTCTAAATCAGAAGTATATAATGCCTTCTGTTTAAAGTCTTTGTGGACCTTTACTTTAAGATGGGTCATTAACACTCAAAGCTTTTACCACTTTGTATTTTGATTGCATATTCAAAACCCCACAATCAAGTTTTATTATGGATCATTGCAACTATTTTATCATTGCCTTTAAAATTCTCTCCTACTCCTGACCTGATTGTAGTATTTGTAGGTTCTTAGATCTTTTATTGTTCTTAAATCCTGTAACCTATATGGTTGTTAACCCAGATAGCTTACATTATGTAGCACAGATTTGCTGACTTTGCAATGGTACTTGTGGGAAATAGAAAGGTCACTGACTTTATCTTTATCCACACCAAATTTTATAGCAGGGCTTTTTTTTTTATCTGGTCTCTGTTGAAGACAAATTATCTGTCAGGACGAAGTGTATATTACATATATATACATTGTGTGAAAGGAAAGGGAATTTGTGGGGCACCCTGGTTCTATTGTGTTATTTGTAACCTGTTTGGGAAAGCAAATCCAATCTTTTCTCTGGTGAGAAATGAGCAGGGTCGACTTGCCTTGCAGGGGTAGGAAAGTGAGATTGTGAAGCCGGCTAATCAGATAGAGATACTCAATATGAGCAGTATGTGCTTCCAGGGACTGCAGAATACTTAGTATGTGTTAATACATTTTGCTTTTAAATTCACTCTTGTAAAGCAAACTTTTCACACATTACTTTGTCCCTCAATATATAATTAACTGCTATTCGACTACAGTTTTTTTACCTACTTTTTTTTGTATTTTAACATTTCTAAATACCCTAAAGCCCATGATTAGACATTATTTAAGCACCATGCTTTTTTGTCTCGAGGAATACTAATTTTCTGGAGAAGTAGTCTGTCACAATTTTGTTTTGTTTTTTTGTTTTTTCCCTTGGACCCAACAGCCAAGGGATTCTGATGTGGCCTGAGTGCACCTAAACAGATCCTTTGATACCCTAGGGTTCTTGGACTGCTTGGTGCATGCTTGCACTTTTACTTTTTACCTAAGTTTCCTTTTTGTATGGTTGGGATCCTACATGCCTAGCCTCATCAGCCAACAGGGTTTCAATCTTCCTTTGCTTTCAGAGTCACTTGCTTCATCTCACTCTCTGTTTAATAGTACTTCTATGATGACAGTTAAGGTCCTCTGTTGAATACTATTATGGAGATGTATGCCACAGCTCTGAAATCAGCTTAAAGTAGAGTCTTTTCTTCTTATTTTGTACAAGTTGAGCTGGCGTCAGGGGTCCCACCCCACACAGGAGAATTTCAGACAGTATTTGCAGCCATTTAAAGCTTGAAATGGAGTCCAGTGGAATAAATGAGCTCAAGGCTTCGGTCTTAGCTACTCCATCAGCGAGATCTACCTGTCCGAATTCCCAACTCTGTTCCTGCCCATCTGTTAATTTTAATATGTTCCAGAGTTTTACTATGTCCCAGCCCCTTTGTCACCTTCCTTTACATTTCTTTATTTAAATAAATTCACAAATAAAACGAATAAAAATAAATCCATCAGGAAAAGTAAAAGAGCTCCTTAACCACTTGCCTACCAGGCACTTATACCCCCTTATTTACCAGGCCAATTTTCAGCTTTCAGCGCTGCCGCACTTTTATTGACAATTGCGCGGTCATGCAACATTGTACCCATATGAAATTTTGATAATTTTTTTCTCACAAATAGAGCTTTCTTTTGGTGGTATTTAATCGCCACTGGGCGCTTTACTTTTTGCGCTATAAATAAAAAATTGCCAAAAATTTGAAAAAAAAAAAAAGTTTCTTTGTTTCTATTATAAAATTTTTCAAACAGGTAATTTTTCTCCTTCGCTGCTGTGCGTTGATGAGGCAGCACTGATGGGCACTGATAGGCGGCACTGATGGGCACTGATAGGCAGCACTAAAGGGCACTGATAGGCAGTACTAATGAGGTGGCACGGATAGGCGGCACTGATAGACAGCACTAATGAGGTGTCACAGATAGGCGGCACTAATATGCAGCACTGATAGGCAGCACTGATAGGTGACACTGATGATGGGTACTGATAGACGACACTGACTGGCATCACTGCTGGGCACTGACTGGCAGCACTGACTGGCACAACCGCTGGGCACTGACTGGTGGCACAGACTGGCAGCACTGCTGGGCTGCACTGGTGGGCAGCACTGGTGGGTGGGCACAGGTGGGTGGCATTGGTGGGCACAGGTGGGTGGGCACAGGTGGGTGGCACTGCTGGGCACAGGTAGGTGGCACTTCTGGGCACAGGTGTGTGAAATTGCAGAGTGGCACAGGTGGGTGCACTGCTGGGCACAGGTGGGTGCACTGCTGGGCACAGGTGGGCGGAGCTAGTGGGCGCACTGCGGGGCACAGGTGGGCGGAACTTGCGGGTGGCACTGCTTGGCACCGAACATCAGGGCACTGATCATCAGTGCCCTGATGATCGGTGCCGATCCCCGCTCTGAGAACTGCCGATTCTCGGCAGTACTTTCCTCACGATCTGACAGCGTGAGGAAAGTGCAGCCGAGAACCGGCACTTGCATTTCCCTCTGATCAGCGTGTCATTGGACACCGCTGATCACGTGGTAAAAGGCCACTGTGATTGGCCTTTTACCACATCACGTGATCAGCTGTGTCTGTAGGACACAGCGATCACGGAGATCGCCGGGTGCGCGCCCCCTGGGGCGCGCAGGAGAGCGCGTTCTGGGGGGGACGTCATATGACGTCCACTCAGAACTGGCCGGCCGCAGTGCAGCCGTCATTCGGCTATCTGCGGTCGGCAACAAGTTAATGGCCATAGCAGATATGCAGACTCAGGAATTTATGCATGGACATAGGGCTATGGATAAGAGGGTACCACCAGTCCTCCTGTATATGGCCCAGGCCAGCAGGGGGGCCCAGGCAGCTGGGTGAATCGGATGTAGGAAGAGAGGGTGATTGGCACGGTGGGAGGGGCAATTACTGGCTGGCTTCTTCTCCTCTACTCTCCCGCTAGCTTTCAGCTGCTGTAGAGAGAGCCATAAAGGGATCATTTCCAGAAATTGCCCCATCCCCGTCGTACCCATCACCTTCCCTTATGTTGGTGGTCATAAATTAGGGTTCAAAATTGGTTGAAGAAACCTGGCCGGCATCAGAGATAGCTCTAAAAGAGGTAGACCTACCTTTTTTTATTTCACTTCTTTCTTTTTTTTTTTACATACTGTCACCAGAACAGTGTCATCATCATATAACTGGTGTGGCGGTGATCAAGGATACTGACTGGTGACAGTATGTTAAAAAAAAAAAAAAAACTTAAATGATTTTTTTTTTTATTAAAGTTTTTTATTTTTTACATACTGTCACCACAGTGACCAGGGATTTTTTTTCACACTGTTATTGCTTATAACAGTGGTGATCACTGTTATGAGCAATGATTTTAGCCAGGGTCGTGGATAAGGGGCTAACACCATCCCTCCTGTATGGGCCCAGGCCAGCAGGGGGCTTAGGCAGCTGGGTGAATCGGATGTGGGCAGAGAGGGTGATTGGCATGGTGAGGAGGGGGGCTATTACTGGCTCTCCCTCCTGCAGGGGGGCTCTCCTTCCTGCGGGCTTTCAACTTGGTTCCAATAGTTGCCCCCACCCCCGTTGTACCCACCACCTTCTCTGTGCACATTTGCCCCTGCTGCCCAGGTCACCCTGTGTGCCCCCACTCTCGCAGCGCTGCTCTGTTCCCTCCTGTCCTTCCCACTGGCAACGGAAAGCACGCAATAGGATCTGTCAGGATGGATAGTTGGAGAAATATCACAATTACTAGCCCTTTTGTTTCCCTTTGTGATTGATACCAATCACTCACTGAGTTCATTCATAACTGATGCATAGTAAACTGTGTTTTTTTTTATGGGGGGGGGGGAGCGGGGGTCCCTGTCAGGTTGGCTGTATGGGGCCCCATGGTTTCTAAAAGCAGCCCTGCATGGAGATCTCAGCATGGAGTACTGGAGGACCTCAGTTACGAGGAACGACTACAAACATTAAACGTATTCTCCCTAAAAGTGACACATAAGAGGAGATATGATAGGGATATACAAATATCTATCTAGTGTTAGCAGAAAGTGTTGATAATTTAAAAAAATTCTTAGATGGGCATCTTTGCTATCATAGATGAACTGGTGTCTTTATTAAACCTTACACAACAGTCCCCAGAACATATGAAAAGAAAAAAATCCTTCCTGGTGGTTTACCTCTCCAGTATCTACTTAGGGATAAAATACCATTTTTTTCGCCTGAGAACCAGTCATTTCTTTATTGGATGCCACTATTTTTTATCTATAATAACTTAGAGTAGGTAAAGCCAGACTGTCATTCACAGTTTATTTTTTAGAGGAACCTCAGCCCTTTTGGTGACTGTCACATGTCACCACTGACTGCCTGCATCTGTACCCTGGGACCTAGTTAGAGATGGAAATGAGGGATTCGTTTTTAGTTTTTCTCCAGAGTCCAAACCTACATGTCAGTAACAGCTCTGTTTAGTCTGCTTAGGATACACATGGACAAACTTGCATGGCTGAATAGAATGAAATACACCTGTTTTTTTTCGGTGCCTGGGAAAAAGTACATGAAAAACGCTTGTACTGGAATTTACAATCACACGCATATGTATCCTAGATTGTAAGCTCCAAGGAGCAGGGCCCTCCTATCCCTCTTGTATTGAACTGTATTTTTGCTGTATTGTCTCCCATTATATTGTAAAGCGCTGAGCAAACTATTGGCGCTATATAAATCCTGTATAATAATAATAATAATAATATGTATGTATTTTTCCAAATGCTCCCAGTCACCACAAATATAGGCATATTTTACGTTCTAGGGCTCTATGCCTGCAAATACATTCATGTGTATGAACCTTTTATACTGCACATTCTGGGAAAGAAAGAGTAGGTCTTAAACTTCAGATGGAGCGGATCCTGAGTGTTTACATGCTTGTGAAATGGAAATGCTCACTTCAAGGTTAGTTGTTTGAGAATTGATGCCAGTCCTGCCCAGATCTACACTTCTCAATATTTCCATAATATAAAGGTGGGGGTAAGGGGAGGTTCTGTAGTCCAGCAAGGAGAATTGATCAAGCACATACTTTATCCCACTTACACACATACAGATAAAAGGTAGGTGACATTTGTCTTTCCAGTAATGTCGTCTAATAATGGTCAGCCTATGGCTGCTTTCAAATAGGAGAAGAAGGGAGGCGCCACGCTGGTTCCTTTACTTTCCATCGGCGTTCCCATGCTGGGACTGTGGTGACGGCGTTCCTCACCATCTGTGGAAGCGGGATTTCACCACTGGAATTTTGGGCTGCACTGAACCTGTGCAATACTGATGACAAGCGATCACTTTTCTACTCTCTTGTGAGTGTTACTTACCTTTGCTGAATAAACCATACACTAATATTACACTCAGTGGCACCCTCCTTTCTCTCCTATTTGTTTTTCCAAACAGATCCTACATACTCTGAGGGTACCCCCCCACTTCCACACATATGGACTTATGAACTGTGCCGTGGGCAAATGCCATCCATTTTAGTGTCCCTTCACTTGTAGTTCCACTTGTTGCTCCTCTGCCCGCCCTGTTTATCTATGGCTGCTTTCAAATTTCCTTCCCTCCCTGATGCTAAACCTTCAGAATGTCTTGCATATTTTTCAACTGGCTGGGTTCATATATCACCAGTTCTGTTTTTAAAAATGTCTCCTTGGACTAGTTAGAGGGTAGTGTGTCCTTAAAAATTTAGACAATTTTGGGCAGTATAGACATTAGCAGAGTTAAGCTACTCTCTTTTGTATGTGCAGGTACTGAAAGAAAATAAACAGGTCTTGGTATACTAGTTGTACTGAAGTTGTAAAATTCCATGGCCAAGCATTTTAACAGTGCTAAAAAAACGCTCTTGCTACAACATTTATTACCTCTCCAATGTTGTCCCCTGCAGAAAGTCCAAGATCTGGTGCTACTGTTTCCAGGTAGAATCACGTCTTGTGAGTGCAGAAGGAATAAAACAAGTTCCGCACACATCTACAGGCTTGGAAAAATCCATATGTAAATAGATAGCAAACTGGCTAAAAGATCGTATTCAGTGTAGTGGCTAATAATTCATACTCAGAATGGTCTAGGATTGTCAGTGGTGTACCCCAAGGTTCAGTGTTGGGACCCTTACTTTTTAATATATTTATAAACGATATAAGGTATGGGATTAAAAATACCATATCAGTCTTTGCAGATGACACCAAGCTGTGCAGTGGAATAACGTCCTTACAGGTTGTCTCCAACTTACAAGCCAACCTCAATATACTGTTTAATTGGGAACTATGTGGCAAATGAGGTATAATGTTGATAAATGTAAGGTTGTGCACTTAGGGGCTAAGAACATGCATGCATCATACATACTGGGAAGGGGGGGTACAACTGGGGGAATCAATGATAGAGAAGGATCTGGGGGTTCTGGTAGATCATAAACTTAATAATGGCATGCAATGCCAAGCTACGGTGTCTAAAGCAAGCAAAATCCTCTCTTGTATTAAGAGGTATAGACTCCAGAGAGAGAGATATTCTACTAAACTGATAAGAGACATAGAGGAGCTCAGCTATGAGGAAAGATTAGAGGAACTGAATTTATTCTCTTGAGAAGAGGAGGTTAGGGAGGATATGATCAACATGTATAAATACATCAGTGGTTCATATACTGAACTCTGTGTAGAGTTATTCACCCTGAAGGTCATCACAGAGGACAAGGGGGGCACTCTTTACGTTTGGAGGAAAAGAAATGCAATCTCCAAACACGGAAAGGTTTCTTCACAATAAGAGCTGTGAAAATGTGGAATAGTCTCCTTCAAGAGTTGGTTCTGGCCAGCGCAGTGGATTGCTTTAAAAAAGGCTTGGGTTCTTTCTTGGATACACAGAATATAACTGGATACTAACATTTATAGGTAAGGTTGATCCAGATTGCCTCTCGGGGGATCAGGGAGGAATTTTATCCCCTGCAGGAGCAAATTGGATCATGCTTTGCTGGTATTTTTTGCCTTCCTCTGGATCAACTGTGGGTATTATAACTTTTATTTTTTTTTTAATGGTTGAACTGGATGGACTTTTGTCTTTTTTTTCAGACAGATTAACTATGTAATCTGAGTTCCATGGAATATTTCTGTTCCTAGCCTTCAGCACCCATGCGCAGGAGCTTTTGACATTATTTCACTCTTAGCCACTTCTTGTGAGCCCAGGCTGGCAAAGACATGCCTACATCTCTAGCCTTTTTGCAACATCAGGACCACCCAACACTTGAAAAGGACCCTGCATATCACATGGGGGATGCTGTATGTCTTCAGCCCAATCTGGAGTATTATCCTTTGGGCTTTAAGTTGTTATAGGGGGTAGGATAAAGGTCCAGGGAACGGCCCATGGTATCCACCGAAAAAATAAGAGGAGAGGCAGTAGTGCCCTTTTAGTGTAGTAAGAATGTAGAGCTAGTCACAAGAATAGTGATTATGCAGTATTCTGAATCATAACTTAATCTGTTGAGGTTG